ACACTGCAGCTTCTCCTCCAAACCAGAGCTCCGTAATCATCAGGCAACCCCTCCTGTCCCCTCTGCCCTCTACTTGCTCTAGTTAGCACTTTTCTCCTCTCCACTTTCCCCCAGCCAGCTTTGCTAGATTCCATGAGATGGTATGGCATTTGTGTTTCTATGCTTGGCATATTCCATCTGACATTGTGAGCTCTAGTTCCATCAGCATTGCCACAAATGCAGGATTTCATTCTTCTTTCTGTGGCTGGGTAGTGTGACACTGTGTATGTGTCACATATTCTATATCCACCCATCAGTTACAGAGCATTTAGAATGCATCTTTTCTTGGCCGCCTTAAGAAGTGCTGCAGTGACCATGGGCTTGCAGATGCCCTCTCAGCATGATTACTTATTGTGGATGTTCACTGATGCTGGATCACAGGGCATTTCTATTCTTAATTTTCTTTTGAGGAACCTACAGTTTTCCATAGCATTGTACTGGTTTACGTTCAGTGTAACTCCGCTCCTTCTCCACACTCTGCAGCACTTGTTACCTTCACTTTTTTTTTTGTTTTTGTTTTTGTTTCCAGAACCAGGAATCAAACTCATGACCTTGAGCTTGCCAGGCAGGCGCTGTGCCACTGAGCTAAATCTCCAGGGCATACCTTCACTGTTTTTGACAGTAGCTTTTTGGAGATGAGATGCTAGCTCATCATGGCCCTGAGTGCCATTTCCCTGACAGTTAGTGATAGAACTCTCATTAAAGGAAAATCATTGTCTTGGTTACTGTTCTCTCATTGCTGAGACAAAATACCCAATGGCCAAAATGAATGAAGAAAAGGTTTATTTACCTCACAGTTTGTGGAGTTTTCAGTCCATACTCAGCTGGTTCCAAGGCAGAGTGGCACATTGCATTGTGGTAGAGGACAGCAAAAGCAGCAAGCACAAAAGGGGAGAGGGCAAGCTTTCTTTCCTTCCTTGTATATTGGCTATCTCCCCAGACCCACACCATTTCAGTACCCTCCTATTGTTCAGGCTCAGGATGTAGAACTGCTGAGTCACTTAGCCAGTCCTCCAGACTCCTCAAGTTGACACAATGTATCAACCATAACAATCATTTTCTGTACCGGTACATGGCTTTATTCTAGAATTTTGGGGCAAGGGTTGTGATGTAGGTCATCTCTCTTCCATGCAGCCACCTCTGACATCATAGTTCCTTTGTTTGTGACCTGAATGTCAAAGCTACTGCTCTGTGCCTATGTGTGGGACAGTGGCCTTTTCACCCTTGGATCACTCAGACTGGCAGTCTCATGGATCCCTCACTGTATGACCTGGAACTATATTTACAGGTGTGTATATTGCTTGTAGAATCCCAAAGGACCTTGCAGACACTGGACTTCCTTCTCAGTGGTAAGAGTTGCAAGATTCAGGATTTATGTTTTGTTCGGGAAGGGCCTGTAATTTATGAATCTGTATTGTGTCTGTCCTTTCCCCTCTGGAGCACCAATATCTTACCAAGACCCCAAACCTAAGAGCCCCTCTTATTATCTTGGATTCTTTCTGAAACAAACTGCAAATGGATGTTACATCTGGGACGTTTTCCCACATGAGTGGAAATAATTTTTGCTCCGTTAAAAGTCACAGTATAATAGGAATACAGTTGTTCACTTAGTAACTAATTACCAAAAATGTTAGATAACACTATTGTGCTGAATTTAATTGTTATGTCCCTTTCAAAAAACATGTGAAGCTTAACATTCCCACCACTAGTATATGAGAACACATCTACATTCATCTCCATTGGTGTTAGGTATCATTTCACATCTTTCAGTGGATACAGGCTATGTTAATGATAACAATTTCTCAACATTCAGAGGCCTCCAGCAGTTAAGATTTCTTCTTCTCATGTGACAGGTCTGTTGGAGCTGCAGTTATCTCTTTTCCTAGTGAATCAGTGTCAGAAACCTGAATATCAGGGCTGACCCATTGAGAAAATAACCAGGCTCTGTGGCAGAGCTCAGAAAGTCTACACATCAGCCACCGATCCTCAAGTGACCCTGGGAACGAGAGAGGCTGGGTAACTCTGGACAAAGACTTTCAACCACAATTTCAGTACTTCTATTTCATTCCCCAGAACCTACACTCTCGTTCTTACTGCTATTTGTGTCCAACCTCAGTACTTCAGCCTTCTGTGAGATGTGTGTCCTCTATGGAGAACGTATCCACTTACAGCTGGGACCATGGCCTGCCATGTGTAATCCCAGATGAACCACGAAGCCTCCCTTCCGCATGCAGCGGAGATGAGTCCAGGGCAAAATGAGGATGAGCATCCTAGGCTGTGAACCCAGACTTGTAAAAGAGCAGTTCTTCAAAAGAAAAGGTAGCTTGTCCCAGGAGAGAGCCTCTGGGGGTGCACGCAGCAGCAGAAATGACAGCTACCGTACAGAAACGCAGGAACAGGAAAATAATAATCCACAAAGCACCACCCCAGAATTCGATGCCAGTGCAGAATTCGTCTCCTCACTAGTCTAGAAAGTTTCTGAATTCTCAGATTGGAAAAGAGGCGAGAAACTGAGGAACCAGGAGATTGCTGGGGCAGAACAGCGACCCAGCACAGAGCCAGAGGAAGCTGCTTCCTGCTGGCCTCCAGAATGTGCAAACTTCCCAGTCAGGAAAAAGAAAAAAACCCAGCAGGTGGGAGCATTGGTAGGTCCAAGTCCTGGTGGCAGAAGAAAATCTGCCAGAAGAGCATGCAAGGGGTGGGGTGCTGCCTTGCATACCCTCTGGGTGGCCAGCGAGTGAAGGTCTTGGGGTAGGGGCTGGAGATCCAGACAGGCAGACAGGACAGAACAGGAACACAGCCAGAAGCACAAACTCCCCGGAGAGCCGGGGGTGACCACTGGCCAGAGAGGCCAGCCAGCTGCCTTGCTGCAGTCTGAGCTCACAAGCACCACCCTCAAAAGCGGGATATATTGTGCTCTTTCATTTATCATTTTCTTTTTCTCTCATTAGATTTCTTGACTGTTGGGTCTTTGTGTGTATGAGTGCATGGACCTATACTTTGTAGCTGCATCTATAATTTGTTTGTTGTTGACTGCATAATGTTCCCCATGGCTAATGACATATACCATGTCAGTGGTCATGTCCTAGTGCTGTACAACCTCACCTTAGGGTCAGGTTGGCAGTGGACTCGGTCTCTCTACCTGCGCCTTTTCCTCCCATTCACGATCTCATCCTCTGCCTGCCTTTGTCATATTTTGCACATAACTTCTTTACCTCTCATCTGTCTTTTACTTCCGCTTTCTTATCTTTTCCTGTCTCTCACAAATGGACTGTCTGATAATCTAAACAGGACTGTGCCTGAGCGTTTCGCATTGGCTTCCCCCACAGAAGGGCTGCCTCACGGGGTCTGTGGCCCTAGTGTCTCTCTGGGTCACCATCTGCACCTGAGCTCTCTCCACGCCTTTCCCTGTCCACTTTAAGTCCCTTCCCCACCCCTCTACCCTTCCCCTCTCACACTCTTCCTTCCCTCTCGCCTTTCTGTGGTATATAAATACTGTAATTTTAACTCACTTTCCCCCTTTTTCAATTTTAGAGCACATCTCTGTGGGCACCGTGTATGAGTACTAATTACTGTTTCTGTCTGTGCTGTGTCTCTCATCAACCTAGCAGGTTCACACTCACCAGGGGCGGGCGCTCAGGCTCCATAGCTCTGCGCTTCTGCTGCAGTTTTAGGTAGATGCACCCTCCACAAAGACTCCCTTTCTGTTAAAATTGTCTTCCTCTGCTCTCCACCTCCGCACATATCCTTATCCACACCCCCTTATTCTTCCACTGCCTTCTTACATTGAGGTATAAAACCAATATCATTAAAATCCAGTCTCTTTCTTTGATTTTTTTGTTTCTTTTTAGTCTCCCTGTTTTTCTTAACTTTTCCCTTCTTTTTTGTATCCGTTTCTACCTCTCAGGCTTTTCCCTGTCACTATTTCCTTTTCTTGGTACTGGGAATTGAACTCAGGATCTCAGGCTTGCCAGGCAGGGGCTGTGCCACTGAGCTACCTCCGCGGCCCCTCCCTGTTATTGACCATTTGTCTTCCTGAGTTACTGAAAGTATGGGGGCTAGAACTCTGGACAGAAGGTTTCTTTCTTCTGCTTGTCTGTAATTTTAAAGTTGTTGTGTAATGAATTTGCATTGTTTTTGACAAAAAGAAGCATGAGATGTAATGACAGGGTTTGCTTCTACTGAATTCGTTTATGATAAACATTGAGGCAACGTAGAGTTTTGGAAAATGCACAAATTCTCTCATCAAATTCTGCAGGACAAATTTGTATTTCTAACAATCTTTAATGTGAATCTGGGCATATTGCTGACTTGCATCTCAAGTTTCTTGTCTGCAAATCTTGATGAAATATCAAAATACTACATTGTAGTGTCATTGTGATGGTACTTGAATCCATCTAGACATTTAAAATACTTTTACCCACCTTATATAAAGTGAATATTATAAACTCATTAGATTTGTAATTATTACACTAGCTGTAACAGTTCAAAGGATAAAAGTGATATTTTCAATAGATGTACTGATGAAGATTTATTTTCCTCATAAATTTAAATAAATAGCTGTGTGAAAGAAATATGTACTTAAAATATTGAGAAAGGTACAAAAGTAGCACATATTTCTGTTTGATGTAACCATCCTGCTTCCTGTGTGTTCTCTGATGACAACCAGCTAAGTCAGGGACCAAACATGCACACGTGTGTTCTCTTCCAACAAGTCTCGTGATGGAGCTCACACCTGCAGGTTTGCAGAAGTCTTTGCGAGGCTCTGAAGACTTGCAGAGTGAGACAAGGGTAACTTGGGAGGGCATGGAACACAACCTCTAAATACTTCAAAAGAGCACGCTTTTATTTCCTGAAGAAATACATACAATCTGTCTAAGTGCAGTACAGCAAATGTTCTTTTTCTCCAATTTAACAAAACATTCACCATTTCTCATTGTTGCGTCTGCAGGTTTTCACCATCTTTTGTCATACGGGATCATTGTCTTTCGGTCTTTGTTGCAATCTTCCGCCACCAAGAGGAGAATTCCACTTTCACAGAGCCAGCATCCTCCCCGCCAGCCTCCAAACAGCGGTTTTGATCTCCTTATTTCTAAGGCTGTAGATGATGGGATTTAGGCAGGGAGGCAAAACTGTGTAAGCCAGAGCAACGACCAGGTCTTGTGTGGAGGAAGTTTCTGCGGTTGGTCCCAAGGCAGCAAAGAGCCCAGAGGTGAGGAAGAGCAGGATGACGGCGAGCTGCGGGGAGCAGGTGGACAAGGCTTTGGCTCGACTCTCCACCGACGGCAGCCTGAGCACGGCTGAGAAGATGTGGAAGTAGGAGATGACCATGAGAACAAAGCACCCCAGTACCAAGCCTGAGCTCAAAGCCAGGGCCACGAATTCCATGAAGAAAACCTCACAGGAAACCAGGGCCAGCACGTGAGGGATGTCACAGAAGAACTGGTGGATGGTATTGGATTGCAAAATCTGCTCCCAGAACATGTTGCCAGTGTGGATCGAGGCATAGGAAAAGCAGCTCAGCCAGGCGATGGCTACCATCTGGTGGCATTTTACTGGCGTCATCACAGTGCCGTACACGAGGGGATGGCAGATGGCCAGGTAGCGGTCATAAGACATGACAGTGAGGAAGGCCAGCTCAGCAGAGGCAAAAGCGAAGAAAAAGTAGACTTGAGCCACGCAACCAAGGTAAGAGATGGAGGTGCTGCGGGCCAAGGAGCTGTGGATCGACTTGGGCACCGTGACGGAGATGTAGCACAAGTCCAGAAAGGAGAGGTTCTTCAGGAAGAAGTACATGGGCGAATACAGACGCCGATCAGTAGTGATGGCCACCACGATGAGCACGTTCCCCACCAGCGCTGCCACGTAGACCAGCAGAAACAGCCCCGCGTGCAGCAGCTGCAGTTCCCGGATGTTGGAAAGGCCCATGAGCTGGCACTCTGCCACCATGCTGAGGTTGCCCGTGTGGCAAGGAAGTTTGTGCTCTGACTGTGAGGAAATGTGAGACACTTTGAAGTGAGGTCATGAAATACAACACAGGTTGCAGAAATAGTATTCTATGTTCAATGAAAGCCCCTAGTATCTTCCATACTGTTTTTGCAGATGAGGCGGTGGGTGGTCCGTGACATTTTTAGTGAGAAAATAATTCTGAGATATGCCCAAAACAAAAATTGAGTTGCTCATTTCCAAAACATTTTCAGTAGTTCTCTTCATCTACCATGAAGCACTTCTCTAATGTGACGATTAAGACTTTTCTCATTAGGGCTGGAATTACGGGGCACACCTGTGATCCTTGCACGTTTGGGAGGTAAGATAGACGTTCCACAACTTTGAGCAACTTAAAGACTTCACATGCACAAAAATTTGGGGAGGTAGCCCCACGTGAAGGCCCTAGGCTTGATCCCCACTACCACAAAACAAAGACAAGAAAACAAACACAAACAAAACAAAGAATTTTTCCATCACATAATCTAGGGTGCTTATTAAAAATATAGACTCTCAGGTCCAAGGCAAATACACTAAATAAGAATTTATGGTATAAAATCAAGTTTCCCTCATCTGTGAGTCTGGTTGATGTTTGAGTGTTGAGGTTTGTAGTTGTAACTGGCTACACATTCTCAGTAAAGTCAGACTCAGGACTCTCTAAATCGCTGTTGAACACCTTTGGCGACAGACGATGTTAAAGTGGGTACTTATTACTTAAGCGGTGGAGCAAAAGTTAAATACGACTCTAAAACATATGACTGGCTCTACTTTGAAGAGAGAAAAGATCGCCTTCTAATGCTCCAGGCATAATAAGAGTACTGTAGTAGACTGATAGCTGGTGGTCAACTTATAACCCCCAGCTGAACTGAGTGAGTGTGGTGCTGGGTGTGGGAGGCCCACCTGAGGACTGTTGCCAGCAGCGTAAAAGGCAGACCTGGAGAAGAAGAAGTAGGGTGTTGGGAGCTGAGAGAGGCTATTGGGAGCTAGTAGAAGCTGTGGGGAAGCTGACTTTCTTTCTTTTGTTTGTGTTGGCTGTTTCCATCCTCCGAAGAGCTTGAGACCTTGCTGGCACTGAGAATGGCTTCAGTTCACTTTGGAGAGCTCTGGTCCTCACTTTGAGCATTGCTTCCTGGTTCTGCAGGGGAAGATGGTGCACTGCCAGCCTCCTGGAAGAGCTTGCTGCGTTGGCTTCCCTGGTGGCAACTCGGCCATCCTGATCATCAGAGGAGCTCAGGACCTCACTGTTGCTGAGGATGGTTGTGGTACCTTCTGGGGGAGCTCTGGTTCTTCTGAGCATCACTTCCTGGCTCCAGTGCAGATCCCTCAGCCTGCTAGCACAGGTCCTTCATCCCGCTGGCACAGACTTTGTAGATTCCACCACTGACCTTGGGGCCTTCCCAGAAGATCTGTGAAACAGGTCTGCATGAGATGTTGTCATGGGCTCTGGGCCTCCAGTTGGATTCATGGGAGACATTGCTATGAGCTCTGGGTATTCAGCTGGACTCATGTAGGACATTATTGCGGGATCCAGGCCCTTAGCTGGATTCTTTGGTCTTAGTGTGTGGACAGATTTCCTGCACTCTTTTGTATATCATTCTTTGGGTGACTATTATAAATAATCATATAAAGTATGTGTCCTGTATTATATTGTTCCCCTTGCAAAATAAGCCCCAAACCAACATAAGTATTAACTACAAAGCCACAGTGCTTATGTAGAACCTTGTCTGGGGTAGGTGCTATCTTCTGGAACATAACCAATTAATACAGTGTCACAGTGAATTGTGTCACAGTGCTATTGTTCTTGTTCTGCAGAAGAAGGAAGTGTCAGAGCAAGGTCAGTTGTCTCAGCCAATGCCACTCCAAGAGCCCTAGCCAGCAATGGGGGCAGGGTGGGTTGTGTCCAGGAGGCACGGTTAACCCTGCGCCATATTACCTTTAGCTCATGGGGGATAATCTTAACCAACAATTCTGTGAAAATGAAGGCATATTTCTCTATGTTAGTCAGACTATTGTATGTGCCTTTTCTCAGTCGTATTGGTTGTATACTTAAAATACATGTGTTTTTATCAAAGCCCTTCGTGCACTTTTTTCTGTCTACATGACTCCAAAATATTTCATTCAAAACAATTCATGAAGTTGTTTCAAATAAGAGCCAATTTTAGATAGTCACTTTAAAATCAGGTTACCGGTTTCATCAAGTATATTTGGTCGAGTTTATTACACCAAGTTTATTTGGTCACCTCATCCATTAGTGATTGACTCTAGGAAGCACACAACTGCTTCACTTTACAGCTGGTGGGAGATATTGTCATTGTTTATAAGACAGGTAGAAACCTATGGCTTATGACACAGTTTGAAGATAGTCTTTCCAAAGGATATAAAGAGGATAGTTGAAACATTTCACTGTATCCTTAACTAATTGAAAAGAATCACACCATCACTGTCAGAAGCTGAGTAATAAGTATTTGCAATGTAGGTAACAGAGGACTACTATCTTTCATAAAGAAAAAACATAAAAACATAATATAAAAAAAAAAAGTGAGTAAAACGTGTGGACAAGCAGCTCATCTAACCAAAAAACTAGGGACCAATTACCAATTAAAAAAATAGATACAAAGGCAAGGCATGATGGCACATGTTTATAATCCCAGCACTTGGGAGGCTGAGGCAGGAGAACTGCCATGAGTTTGAGGCCAACCTGTGTTACATAGTAAACTCAAGGCCAGCCTGGATTATACAGAGAAACCCTGCCTCAAAAAACGAAATCCAATCTTACTTACAAAAATGCAAATGAAAAATTTAATTAGATGCTGTTTTGTGCTCACTGATTTAGAGAATATAATATGTAACATGAAATATTATCACATAAAGTATATGTCTGCTACATCATGGCTTGACAAGGAGGTGAAGGAATGAAATTCCTTTCTTGTTGCTACTGGGTGCTAAGTATCACTTGGCAACAGGTGACTCCACTGGCGGTGTGCGGGTCTTGATGCCGCAATGCCACTGCCGACAGATACACACTGAGGGTTATTTTGTTTATGTCTGCGTGTTTGCTAATACGGTTTCATTCTTTTATCTTTAAAATTAAAAATGACATATTGAAGTAGGTTTGTTCAGCATGTATAAACCTCTCACTCATACTGCTAGGAAAAAGGACGGTTTACAAAGTTTCAGCCCAAACTGGGACACTCAGCAGTTACACTGGATGTTACATCCTACATATATCATATAAAAATTTCAACATATCTAAGAAAAGGAAGTAAGATGAAAAACATTACACAGAATGTCTTTCTAGTCATATGAGTGTGGATATTCAGAGTATAGTACATATTTGTGGACACACATATATATTTAAGATAAAAGCAGTTACAGGAGCAATATACAGTACCAATTAATGTACATGGAGTTGTATACTAACTTAATGAAGATAAAGTAAAAAACATTAATTATATCTGCAACATTTCAAAATTCAAAAGTCATTAAAACCAGTAAAAAGATGAAAAAGCAGTAAAACTTGGTACTGGTTGCTAACAATCATTTGTTATGCTCAAAATCTCTTGCTTTTGGGTATTTCATATTTTTAATATTATGCAAATTGATATCAAAGAAGCATTTGGAATATGTATGTGTATTATACATTGGATTTTATTTTTAAACTACTTGTAAAATTTGGTGAAAAGAGGTGAGACTGTTTCCTTTGGCACTATGGATATAATATACTATCTCATATATAAAACATAACCATAGAAAACACTATGGACCATCATTAAAAGACATGATAGGGAATGGAAGTGCCTTTGTAACATTTTATAGGTTGCATATTTTATATGCACTATACGATTTAACAATGTGCAGTAACTTAAAGTTGAATTTTGTTCTGTCCTTTTCTTATGAATATAACGTATTGAAACTAGTAGCAAAATGATTGTTTATTAGTTTAGATTCAAGGTGTCCTAACCAAGCAAGCCATATTTATAGCTCCCTGTTAAGTCAAAGCAAAAGTTTATGCCCTCTCCCAGGCTGCATCCACTATTGGACATTTTCCCCAGGTTAGCTTGCCAGGATAGGAGTAAAGTCCTAGAAAACTGCCACAGGGGAAATTCCTCAGACTCTGTTATATATGGGGTCAGAACTCATCCCGTTCTTTCAACTCAAATAGTCACATTTTCATACTTCTGAAAGGAAAAAAAAACCCTATAAATTACATGTAGTTTGCATATTCTTACTGTTTATTGATTTTTAAAGTTACTGTTAAATCACCATCCTTTTTGAACTATAGAACATTTAAAATCAAGAACATAAAAGACAAATTTATAAATATATTATCCTTATGATACATAACTCTACAAACATAAACCATATCCATTCACAATATTGGGTATTTGTGTGCAGTGGTGCATGCCTGAAATCCTAGCACTGAGGACAACTGAAGCAGGAGGATTGCAAGTTCAAGACCAGCCTGGGCAACCTAATAAATTAGTAAGAGCCTGTCTCAAAATAAAATATTTCAAAATGGCTGACAATGTAGTTCAGTGTGAATGCCATGGGTTTACCCTATAATACTATACATACAAAAAAGAAAAAGAAAAGAATGAAGGAAAGAGAGGAGAAAGGAAACAAATGAACAAGCAAAGAATATTAGGTAAGTTTGTCCATACATTCATTAACAGATACTCGGTAGTTAACACTCATATTAAAAAGGCAAATACTCTTCTGCACACATACCTATGCCATTGTGAAATATAACTTCTTAATTTCAAATATAATAGTTTTAACTTCAAGATATCTTGAATTAAATATTTTTAAAGGTTTCAAACCTATTTTTAAATTCACATATCATCAAGGAACACAAGGTTGGCACTGTGGAATTGTCTTCAGTTCAGGAACAAAATGAATTGGCAAAAATATGATCATATTCTTGTACCACAGGTAAATGTGATTTCACTGGTTCTTCTGCTTCTGACAGGGTGAGGGTCAGGCAAAGACTGCTGCATGGACCCGAAGATCCCAGAATATGGGAGTGAGGCCCCCAGTTTAGCTTGGCACTGGCTTGCTATTTTCCAAGATGGTCCAAAGTCAAAGGAATGGGAAGGCAATGACTTTTGGAGCAACTTTAACTTGTAGAACAATTACAAAAACTTTGCATTGAATTCAGGAATATAGTGATGTTTGAAAAATGACGATTGAACCACAGTGTTGCTGATACATGCATACAGAAGACTTTCCTACTCGTTGGGAGTAATTTTCATCCTTCTGGTTCCACTGTCTGCAATTGGACTATCTACGAGTACCTAACTACCAATTCTCCTCCTCCCTATGCCTCAACACTTCACAGAAAGGAGTAGCATATCATTTATCAAACTAATAAAACAAAATATGCGTTGTGCTAAGAGTAATAGTATGGGAAGAAACCTGAGCTGTAGTGTGGGCTGTTTTAACTGGGGGGAGCTACAAATAAATTTTAATTTCAATTACTTTAAATATAAAATAGCATTAGATGAGATGGGCTGTGCTGCCCACCATCTCTGAAACCATTTATATGTGGTCTGCGTAGTGAGACAGTGTGGCCCTCTCTGCATAGATCAACTCCCCAAGAGATGCCCTCCACTCCACTCATACCTAGGAACAGACAAAAAACCTGGGAGCAGAATGAATACATCTTGCACCATGAAATGTTTCCTCATTAGTTTCATTTTAAAAATAGATCCTTGCAAAACATAGAAATGACAAGAACTCAAATTATTTGCTGAATTTGGTTATATCATTAAAAAGTGAAATGAAGCATCGTTATTGAGAATACCGTCGTATCTCCTTCCTC